TTTTAATTTAAATTTCAGCTTGAAATTGATAGAAGTGCTGCAAAAGATAGCTGTGCAATATAGGACTTGACCCCTTTTTCATTTCCTTTACCTTGTATGATAGTTATTTAAATGCTTAGCTATTTCTTTGTTCTAGTGCTGTAGCAGAATTTTGGGGACAATAAATATATTTTCTTACTATACAGAGTGATCGTTAAACTACGATAGATTTTTATATACACACACACATAAACTGTATATATATCAGGTAGTGGAAATTTTGAGTAGTTTGGAGAACCAGCAAATACCACCTCTGACTGGCCCCAGGAGTGGGGAGGGAATGGAGATTTTGCAGTATTCTTCCCCTGGAGTGGGGTGGGAATGGAGATTTTGCAGTATCCTTCCCCTGCCACGCCCACCAAGCCACACCATGTCCACCAAGCCACGCCCAGAGAACCGGATATAAAAAAAATTGAATTTCACCACCACACACACACATAGAGGAAGGAAGGGAGGGAGGGAGGGAGAGCGAGAGAGATACTGCATATGTCTGTTGTGTATGTTATTCAGTTTCAGAGACAATCCACACATAGTGGCAGGGTGTAAGTTACAGGCAGGAACACACAATCAAACATCTGGCATTGTGTACAGGAACATTCTGCACAATGTATGGGCTAGCCGCTAGACCCTCCCAAGTCCAGATGGGAGATTCCACAAAGATTGTCTAGAATAACGGGATTAAGATTCTGTGGGGACTTCCAGATCCAATGGACAGGCAGGTACTGGCCAGTCAACCTGACATTGTGGTAGTAGACAAGAAACAAAAGTCAGCAGTGTTAACGGATATAGTGGTGCCAAGTGACAGCAACAACAGGAAAAAGGAATATAAGAAGCTGGGCAGATACCAGGTCCTTGAGAATGAATAGAAACTGTGGAAAGCAAACGCCAAAGTGGTCCCTGTGATGGTGGGACCACTCGGGGCTATGACACCTAAGCTGGGAGAAGGGCTCCAATCAGATCCCAGGAACGACATCAGAGCTCTCTGTCCAGAAGAGTGCAGTGCTAGGAACAGCTAAAATGCTGTGCAGAACCTCAAATTTCCAGGCCTCTGCTAGAGATCTCAAAATCGAGGAAGATACAATACATACCACCCATAGGGCTGAGAAGGGAATTTTTAAATATATATTTCATGTCCATTGCCTAATAACATAATGTATTTTTAAATCTTTTAAAGATATTTATTATATATTTTGATTGCTTTTATTTCATTGCTGTTGAATGTTGCATTACATTTGGCTTTCCTATGGCAAATAATGCCAGGACCAAGTTTCCTGCGTGAATCCTAGTACTTTTTCCATAAATATTAAAATGAAATTAAAAAATGTTAATTATTTTTCAGTGTTAAAAATCTCAATGTCGAGTCCTGATCCGGGGCTCGCCATACTTGGGGGTGGGGGTGGGAGCATGGAGCTGTTGCCTTCGGAGCTGGTGGGAGAGTCCGCGGAGGCCGCGGTGTGGTGGCAGCGGTGGATCATGTCAGAACAGCACCAGCCAGCCATTTGTCAGCGGGGCGTTCTCCTGGGCGCACTGGCAGGCAACGGGGTGTTGGCAAGCACAAAGAACATGGCGGCACTGGCGGCGCCGGGACACCACAGCTGCTCATCAGCTTTTTTGCCCCTGTGGCTGCTCACGCACCCATGCAGCTCCAGATCTGCGTTCCAGGCCTTGGTTCCATGCCATTGGCCCAGCCATGCCACTGCAACCGGATGTCGGCCACAGACGACTGGATGCTGGGTGGACAGAAGGCATGGCAGGCTGGTAGTGGGCATGGCCTCAGGTTATAAAGCGCGCTGGGAGGCAAGAGCTCCCAGTGCTGACTTTGCACAGAACTGTGTGTTATACTCAATGTGTACCAAGACTCCGGTCTATGGATGGGGAGTAAAACCTGGATTATTGAATTGCTTAGATTCCTGTGTTTGTTTGCTTGACTCCTCCCTTGTCCAGGCCTGGAACATTTGAGACTCAAGATAAAATTTGTTCTACATTGCGGACTGTTAAGCTCACTAAAGCCTTGGTTGATTTTGTATAATTGAAGTTTTCACATCCATATCATTGAGCATGCTTATATTATGGTGCATAAAAGGTTGCTCTGTCAAAGGTTTGCATTGTGTTGAACTATTTTTCTTCAAAACATGACAAGGTTCCACTTCATCTTTCATCCAGTTGCTAATCATACAGTGCCTGCTTAACATCTTTATAAGCCCTGAAGTTCTGCCTCGCCTCTCATTCTCAGGCTCCATCTGTACTATCAGAATGATGAGTACTGTAGAAGAGTTCTCTTGTTGTTAGTTGCGAAGTCATGTCCAACCCATCGCGACCCCATGGACAATGTTCCTCCAGGCCTTCCTATCCTCTACCATCCTCTGGAGTCCATTTAATCTCACGCCTACTGCTTCAGTGACTCCATCCAGCCACCTCATTCTCTGTCGTCCCCTTCTTCTTTTGCCCTCAGTCTTTCCCAGCATTAGACTCTTCTCCAGTGAGTCTTTTCCCAGTGGACTGGACCCCCTTTAAATATCTTTTATGGTCATGGACCATTAAGACTTAACTCAAGATTTAAATCATAATATTTCTTTAAGCCTTTGTGGACCCTGTGTGATGACCCCCACAGACCATTGTTCTAGAAAACTATTGTTCTAGATCAGGGATGTCAAACCCGATTGTGTTGCTGGCCAGATCGTGATGTATCATGATGTTTTTTGCCTTTGTAGGCCTTTGTGATCGGGCTGGGCGTGGCCTGCATGGGCCATATCTGGCCCACAGGCCACCAGTTTGACAGGCCTGTTCTAGATAATCTTCTGATAAGATGACCTTACTAAAGATGATTTTCTCTTTGACCTATGTCACTCTGGAAATGTATGGGCAATGGACCTCAGCCATAGTTGGCAATACAAGGCTGCTTTTATCACTATGTTGAGGGCTGGTGAGGCTGGTTTTGAATCTTGTGACCTGATGGTCATCAACACTGCAGTAATCTAGTCACATTCTCTGTAGTCATGGCAGCAAATATTTTGAGACAGGCTAAATAGCCTTTCTACTCTTTCTCCTCCATGTCAAATTTGATCCCTCCTTCTCTACTCTCCATGACTTCCATCCTACCTCTTGGAATCCTCCTGACTGAGGATATATTATTTCATGATAGCTTTTCATATTACAAAATCATGAATTATGGCTGAATGGGCAACTTGAATGGAAAAATATTAGTAGCAAGGACTGTGTTACAGTCCTAGAGAGATACTGGTTACTTTCTAGGATTAGATGCAGGTAGAACAGCATCTGGGAATTTGAATTAATGACTTTTTGAAGTTTATTCTATAATTCTGGTTCTTCATTAATGAATTCAGGACTTCAAAGTGATTCCTGATGTTCTCTGTGAGAATAGTGAGTATATGCTCAAGGTCAAAATGTGGGACCAACTGGCTTTCTTCTTTTTTAGGGTATCTTGGAACTTGCCCATGAGCAATTTGTGATCTGTTCCATAATCAGCACCTGGCCATATCTTTGATGCTATAACTGAGCTCCTCCACTTCCTGTGAGCAATAACGCAATTTGATTTCCATATGCTTGTTTCAGTGATATCCTTGTATAAAGGTGTTATTTTGTTTTTTGGGATAATGTGTTAGTTATGAAGCAATAATTGGATGGGTAGAAATTGGTAAGTTGGTTTCCGCCTTCATTTCAGGGTCTTAAACCATACAATACCAATTCATTTTCCTCTTTAATGTTTCCAACTTTGGCATTCCAGTCTTCAGTCACAAATAACACATCTTACCTACAAATCCTGTCAGTTTCAAATTGAACTTGATCATAAAACTTATCAACCCACTTTCAGATCCTTCAGTGAACAGGGGATCAAACCACATTCAAGATGACCTCTGATGTCCCTTCCAATTCTGAGCTAAGGGACCTCTTCACATCGTGTGGACCCTTTTGACTAAATTTGACTTTTAAAAAAATATGTAAAGGGAGTCTATGTCCACTTTCTCTTCCTTATAGAAAGACATAATGCGCCAAAATATGAAAAAGATGAAACCAAATGTGATGTGGTGGTAGAATCCAAAACAAGAAAAAATAAGTTTGAAAATACAATGAATAAAGTCAAGGACTGCAAGAAAAAAATAAAAATAAAAATCCCCAGAGCAAGTGGGAGAGGCATGTGGGCTTCATAGTAGCAAAATGTAGGGAATTTGGGAATGGAGGCAAGCTAAAAGACCATATTCCAAATGGAGCTTCCCAGAGAGAACTGAAAGACTAGGTTAAATATATGTAGTCAAATTAGGCAATTATCCCCTCCACAAAATACTATCCCAGAGAAACTAAAGTTGTCAGCTCAGTCATAAAAATATTTAGAAGGCCAAAGAATGCTGGGGATTGAACCAAATGCAAGATGACCTCTAATATCCCTTCCAATTCTATGATATGGATAGATAGATAGATAGATAGATAGATAGATAGATAGATAGATAGATAGAAAGATAGATAGATAGATAGATAGATAGATAGATAGATAGACAGATAGATAGATAGATAGATAGATAGTTGCATTATAAGTGTGTTAACCCCTCATTGAGGGAGATGGGTGATCTAGAAACATAAAATATAAATAAATGAACAAGTAAGTAAGTAAGTAAGTAAATAGTTCAACACATAGAGCAAAAAAAATTGTTTTTTTAAAAAAAGATGCTTTCAGTTAATGAAGGGTAAAGACAGAAGTTCAAGAAAATGGAATTCATTCTACTAGCCACTTCCAATTAATAATAGTAAGCAAGTGAGAGGAAAAATAGGGTTGAAGGATCAGCAGATAGGAGAGAGAGATTTCTGGAGAAAAGTGGAGATGGCTTGGAGATGTAGATGGATATGGATCAGTTCCCAAATAATTAGTGTTCGTTACCATGGTGATGGCAATACCATCTTTTTAAAAGTCTAATTTGAGCCAATGAGAGCTTGGCTGACTCAAAATGTCAGAAATGTTTTACATTTTTATTACAACTTTAATTAACAATAGAATTAAAATATGCTCAGGAAAAATAAATATCTACATTCATAAATACTTCCATCTGAATGCATCTTGGAAGACCAAATTTAAGTTAGTGCCTCTAAAATCATTTACACTATTTGCATTTTCCAAATAATTTCTTGAGTGTGGATAAGACGTCTTGATTTCTCAGGCTGTATATGAAAGGATTCATGGTGGCAGGGACAATGGTAGTAAACACTGTATTAATCATAGATCTTTCAGTAGAATAAGAGGAAGAGGAAGTCATATAGGTCAAAATGGCTGCTCCATAGAAGAAGCCCACCACGCAGAGATGGGACAGACAGGTCGTCAAGGCCTTGTGGCTCCTTTCAGAAGATTGTACCCTCAAAACCTGGAGAAGGATAGCAATGTACGAGGAGAGGATGACTGAGATGGGAATGAGAAGTACCAGGAAATTTCCAACATATGTTGCTTTTTTAAAAGCAGAATTATCTGAGCAAGAGAGTTGTAGGAGGGCTGGATAAACACATATGTAATGTTTAATCACATTGGCCTTGCAGTAGGGAAGGGGCAGGACATAAAGAGAGCAAGCGAGGGCCTGGAGAGTAGACCAAACCCAGGCCGCCACTGACATCATATGAAGGATGCTTTTCCTCATGAGGATGGGATATTGCAAAGGTTTGCAGATGGCCACATACCTGTCATAAGACATAGTAGCCAGGATGAGGCATTCTGCTCCTCCTAAAAGCAAAGTTACAGTAATTTGAGCAACACATCCATAGAGCGAAATGGTATACCTCTTGGTTACAAAACTGACAAATACTCGAGGAACAATAGTGAGAATTTGGCAGAGGTCCAATAAAGCTAATTGTTTGAGAAAAAAGTACATGGGAGTGTCAAGGCTAGAGTCAGAATTAATTACAAAGAGAAGGAGACAGTTTCCAGTAATTGCAATAAAGAACATGAAGCTGATAGCAACCAGAAAAATTGTGGGTGATTTTTGATATTGAAGTCCAAGTAGAAGAAATTCTTTCCATGATGTGCCATTCTTCTCTTCCATCCTTTTTTCATGCATCATATTTCTTTATGGACACAGCACTGTATAAGCAATAATATAGGCAGGTTTATATTTGAAGAAAGTGGAAAATTAAATTACAGTAAACTAGAAGTTTGGAATAGATCATTCATGTCCCACTGCGATTTATTTCATGTCCTCTGTCCTCTTTCCATTCTTATTTCCTATATTCAATGATTATTTGCAATCCTTCATGTCCCCTTTGAGTGCCTCCTTCCACTTATTTTAACATCCAGATTTCAAAGACCAGTTCACTGGAAGGTGTAGTATTTGTTGCATTAATTGAGAATTAATTTCTCAATCTGTAATCCTGATTCTCTCTCCCCTTTAACATTCAATTTTTATTTTTTTCTACAAACCATTTTTATGAACAGGTTGTGCCTATTCCAATCCTTTGGGTTTTCTTCTTGCCTTAAAAAACTGCAGAAGCTGTTTTGCAATACGTGGAGACATCGATAGAAGAAAAAAATGTACATAATCTGTAAGTTATATTAAGGAAGATCTTATATTTCAGTGCTGTACAGTTGCAAATTGTGAATAACTACATCACAGGTTGTGAAATAATCATGCCTTGGAGCATTTTAAAAGAAGAAGCTTTCTGTGGGAATATTCTGTTTGTAGAATTAAAAACTTTGCCTGTTTTTATGTCTCTATGCGTGCTATAGGGTGTGCTCAAAGAACACCAACTGCATTTGAGATAAACAAACAAATATGCATGCACAAATATATGTATACATGCATACATAGGGTACAATGCATACACAGGTCATTTAATTTCGTTGTATGAGGTGCAATGACAATAAATGTAACCCTAGTAGCTCTATACATTCTGTGGCTTCTGAACACCAATTGCACTGGAGATAAACAAACTGTATGTATACAGCGCAATGCAACTTCATTAACGTAACCTTAGAAACAAAATATTTCCAAAGGTGTTCTCTACACAAATTCTTCCCGCTCTTGCCTTCCAAGGACAAAATCTTAATGGGCTTTATACTATTTATAAAATCATCTCAAAAAGTAGCAGAAAAAAACGATCAGAGAAAACTTTCTAGTGCATCAATAAAGGAGAATATTTGTAGCTTGGGGTATTGTTTTTTAGCAGATGTTTCATTACTCAAACAAGATAACATCATCAGTACTAGTGAATAGAAAACAACCAAGCTCAGAGAGCACCAAGGACTCCTCTAGTAGATTTTGCTTCCAATTTTGCTTACGTGGTAGTACTCCAATTCAATAGGAGAGATATGAGACTGTCTAGGTTTTATTGTGGGGGGAAAAAAATCTCCATTTAAATAAGGAACTAAAACATTTGGAAATAGATGCAAGAAAGTGTCTTTCATTGGCAGGAGCAGCTACAGTGATCACTGAGCCCTTGCCATAGCAACACACAAAATTTTCCATGTCTAAGGACTTCTGGTGGAGAAATGATGAGCTTCTGAACATGATTACAACATGGTGTCCTTGATTTGCCAAAGTTGTGAGCTTGTCAGTTGTGATTCCTTTGTCTCCCAGTACTGGTAGTCCTTGACTTACAACAGTTCATTTTAGTGACCGCTCGAAGTTACAACGGCACTGAAAAAAGTGAGCTATGACCATTTTTCACACTTATGACCATTGCAAGCATCCCCAGGGTCATGGGATTTACATTTGGCTGCTTGACAACTGTCTCACATTTATGACGGTTGCAGCGTCCCGGGATCACATGATCCCCCTTTTGTGATCTTCTGACAAGCAAAGTCAATGGGAAAGCCTGATTCACTTAACAACCGTCTTACTAATTTAAGGACTGCAGGGATTCATTTAACAAATGTGGCAAAAAAGTCGTAAAATGAGACAAAACTCACTTAATAAATTTTTGACTTAGCAACATAAATCTTGGGCTCAATTGTGGACATAAATTGAGGACTACCTGTACTCAGATCCATGGAAAACTATTCACAAGGAGCAGCTGTCTGGACCACATGGGAGGGATTGCCTTTCCCCAATTTGTCTGGAGAAGTTTAGAAAAACCATGGTCAGCATCTCTGCTCTCTCAGAGACATGTTTAGTTTGCCATTCCTCCACTAGAAGTCCCTGGACTTGAGACTTTGATATGCTGCTGTGGCAAGGGGCCAGACGCTTTCTTGAAAGAAAGAGGGAAGGAGGGAAGGAGGGAAGGAAGGAAGGAAGGAAGCAAGGAAGGAAGGAAGGAAGGAGGGAAGGAGGGAAGGAAGGAAGGAAGGAAGGAAGGAAGGAAGGAAGGAAGGAAGGAAGGAAGAAGGGAAGGAAAAAAGGAAGAGAATATTCTTTCTCAAATGTATATAAGGTCATATAAGGAAGAGCTACATGGTTCAGCCCAACAACCCATCCAGCCCAGCATTCAGTGTCCCACGCAGGCCAGTCAGAAGGACATGAGAGTAATAGCCCACTTCATATACCTTCCCTAGCAACTGCTCCTCAAGGTAGACGTTCCAGCCGGTCATCTCTGACTCCTGAACCAACAAGCACTCACCGGTATCAGAACCCCGGAACAGCTCAACCTCCCATGGAACTCTCTGGGTGGAGATTACATCATCTCTGGGAGCTGGTGTTCCTGCTCCTGACACTAACACCTAAATAATTTCTAGCATTCAGATGACTCAGGCATGTTAGGATTTAAAGTCTCTAAGGAGACAGAGTTAGTTTTTCCTTTAGGGAAATAGACCTTGAGAATTAACTTATGATGCAATTCAAAAATCTCTCTTTTTATGTTTTAAATATCTTCCCAGCTTGGGGACACTTTTGATTAACTTTGACTTTGGAAATAAATTATATAAAGGGGGGATCTATGTCCACTCTCTCTTTCCTATAGAAAGGGATAATGTGCCAAAATATGAAAAGGATGGAACCAACTTTGATGTGGTGGTAGAATCCAGAAAAAGAAAGATTTAAGTTTGAAAATACAATGAATAAAGTCATGGACTGCAAGCAAACAAAATCTAAAAAAAACCCCAAAATTCCCCAGAGCCCTGACCATCCAAGTAAGACAGGCAGGTGGGCTTCAGAGAAGCAAAATGCAGGGGATTTGGTGATGGTGGCAGACTAAAAGACCATAACCCAAATGAATCTTCCCAAAGAGACCTGAAAGGCCAGATTAGATGTATGTGGTCAAATTAGGCAACTATTCAAGAGCCATGGTGGCACAGTGGTTAGAATGCAGTACTGAAGGTTACTTCTGCTGCCTGCTGGCTGCCTGCAATTCGAATCTCACCAGGCTCAAGGTTGACTCAGCCTTCCATCCTTCTGAGGTCAGTAAAATGAGAACTCAGATTGTTGGGGGCAACAATGCTGACTCTGTAAACCACTTAGAGAAGGCTGTAAATCTAAGTGCTATTGTTTTTTGCTATTCCCTCTACAAAACACTATCCCAGGGAAACTAAATTTGTCAGCTCAGCCATAAAAAGATTTAGAAGGCCAAGGAATGCTGGGAAAAATTCCTGGGAAGCAAGCAGGACTCAGGGAGTGTGATGGTTCACATAATTGGGATGCTGGGCTTACAATCAAGGCTCATGTTTGAGATCTGGTTGATGCCGTGGGATGAGGTGAGCTTCCATCACATGCTCCAGCTCCTGCTGACTCACTGGTACAAAAGCGGATGATTGCAAGTAGATGGGTATCATTTCCAGTGGACAACTTAACAGGGATATGAAATGAGCTTGCAACTGGGCATCCTCCAGACAATGATGATGTCACCATTCAATCCTTTCAACCCAGAAGCACTTCATTGGCCCCGACATGAATGTAGTATTAGTAGTAGGACTCTAGGAAAGCAAAAGAAATCAATTCCCTAGAAAGAAACCATGTTCATGGAATCCTATCTCCTTACCTTTCAAATGTCCAGTGTTTTGGTAGTCCTCCCCATAACCTCATAGTTACACCTTAATGGCCTCACTGACCCCACTAAGCACTGGAGTGGGTGGCTACATTAAATCTAATAAATAACAACAGTGTGCTATATTCAATGAAATATCTAGCTGCTATGTCCAATCACATCTATATATTTAGGCTGTCAAGACTGCATTGTGTCTAGCATGTAGATTTTCATGACCTTGTATGCCGTACACTAAATAAATAAATGTACACTGTACCGTGTTTCCCTGAAAATAAGACCCTGTCTTATATTTTTTTGAACCTTGAAATAAGTGCTTGGCCTTATTTTCAAGGAGGTCTTATTATTTTGGAGCGTGTGGAACAAGACGGGGCTCCTCTTGCCATCTCACCTGATTTCCAGCTCTGTCTCCCTAACCCTAACCAGAGGAAATGGCAGGGACCAGCTGTGCATGTATTTAAATATTTTTTGGGAGGGCTTATTTTCAGGGGAGGGCTTATTTTCGTGCATGCGCTCAAAAGCCCGATTGTGCTTATTATTTAGGGAGGTCTTATTTTTGGGGAAACACAGTAATTAGTGCAATGAAGGACTGTAATCACCTCCCTCTTTAGGCTTGTCCTTGCCTCCAACACTATCAGTAAATCAACTGGTGCTTCAGTGCAATAAGTCTGTAAGGTGAAAGAGATCAGGGCCACATGTTAAGTTCCAATAAACTGATTTATTGCTCATGCCTATGCATCAGAATCTAGTCAACTAAGACCAGCCCTAATTTGGCACTAAATAAGGGTTAATGGAATTCTAGAGGGGTTGGATTTAGACTGCTTGTGGGAATATAATGACTCCAGGCTGATTCCCTTTTAGACTCCACCTCCAGGCTCTGCTTTTCCTTATCCTACAGTGTCCTGGTCATTGAACCAAATTTATCCCTTAAAAATTCTACAACAGCAGACACTGAAACCCACAGTGTACCAGAATCTCTGACCAACCATGCTTCAGAGAGTAGTCATAGGTATTAGACATGATAATTATTGTGTGCCACAATCTATTTCAATTGTTCCCAACCAGATGCCCTCCAGTTACTGGGACAACTCCCAAAACTTCTAGAAGAATAGAATATAATCTGTCCAACCTTTAGTATCCTAATCAATAGGGCCTTAAGTGGCATCAATGAATGATC